AAATCAGACTATAAATTTTCATGGCTTTTCCCTAATATTTTTTTTCCAAAATAAATGTTCATGATTTTTCCCGAAAATAAATGTTTATAGTTTTTCCCCAAAATTTTTCTTTTCAAATTTTTTCCCCCAAAAATTTTGAAGTTTTATAATTTGTACTTAAAAAACACATACAATCCTAAATTTTTACTCTCCTGCCAGATTTTTTCCCAATTTTTTTCCCACAAATTTTCTTTTCCAAAAAAATCAAAGACTATAAATTTCGATGGTTTTATCTAAAATTTTTTTCCCAAAAATTTGAATTTTGAATTTATGTTTTATAATTCGTACTTAAAAAACACATACTTAATAAGAATTATTTTAGCGATTAAATAATTTTCAATGAATGTTTTGACATAATTTTTGTTCAGACCGTTTTTACAAAATTTTACTTCGAAAATCAATTTATTTTTACCAAGGGTTGTCCAACCATAACACTTTTTTCTTAAATTTTGGAGTCAGTTTTCTATATTTCGATTTTTTTTCAATTCGGAATTGAAAAGTACATACTACCCTACATTTTTAAGCCTGCAGATCATAAAATATATATGTTACCAAAACCACTAAAATGGACTTAATTCACATTAATGAAGAATACCAATTTTTTTGAAATCAATATAGTATGTTCACGCCTTCGAAGTCAAAGCATTCGATATGTAAATATAAAAACAAAAGATATCTATAAAATATACTAAGATATTTTAGTAATCCAATAATTTGTCATCCTGTTTCCAGTCAAGTTTTTTTTATCTAATTATTATTCTAGTTTTATAAATAAATAAACTCAACCACTTGATACTCATATATATAATTTTATAAACTGACAATTACCTTTACATTAAAAATTACTCACATAAAATTTATCTTGCGTAACAACATTTCCCGGACGTCTATAGACACTATTGCTATTGTGAATTTTGAAGTTACATTTAAACGATTTACATTTATATCGGATAACAATTTTTGTTTGTGATATTATTTCCAAAGTCAAGTTTTAAAATGGCAATAGCAAAACATTTCGTTTGCAGGACCTTCTTTACAATACCCAAACTCACAGTTGCATTTATCATGACAATGTCTAAGGCAAGCACTGTTGGCAGTTTCTGCATTCATCTCGCAAATATCTGGGATTGCGATTTCGGTATCCGTCATGAAATACTGAGCTGAAATAAAAGAAATAATATTATAATAAACTAGTGATGTATAGCATCGTGCCTTAAGGCAAAATGCTGGAACTTCCCGTACCGCAATGAAATATTCGAGAAATTTTAAACGTTTTCAAGTATATTAATACAAATACTGTGACTTTCATTATTTTTGCCATCTTGCTATATCTGAGCAAATCAAATGTAAATCATAAATCATAAATCAATTCATCTCCAGAACATTAACAATCGTCATTTCATTTCGAATTTAATTTAAAAAAAAAAACAGTTGCCTAATTGCATTTGCAAATAATTCTGTGCGACATTTCACTTATACTGTGCTTAGCTTGGCGGCATTTTCACATTTTTCTATAGTTTTCACAAAATTGGAAAATTTCTCGTTCTTTTATCTTTTTTATCAAAGCCACCCTTCTAAAAATATCGCCAACTTGACCAAAGTTCTCAAAAATAATAGGTATTTTCAAAAGAAGCATTTATTTTTTACTTTTTTCAAATTTTAAATTGTATGAATGTTTTCAATATTCTCAGGAATGTTCAAAAAATTCAAAATCCTCAAACAAAAATAATTTTTCTTTTCTGAGCTTTTAAAAATGTTCTCAAAATAATAAGTATTTTTTAAAGAAGCATTTTTTTATTTTTTTCAAAATTCAAGTTGTTCGAATGTTCTCAAAATTCTCAAAAATGTTCAAAAAAATATTAAATCCTCAAACAAAAATAATTTTTCTTTTCTGAGCTTTTAAAAATGTTGTCAAAAATAATAAGTATTTTTAAAAGAAGCATTTTTTTATATTTTTTTTCAAATTTCAAATTGTTCGAATGTTTTCAATATTCTCAAGAATGTTCATACAAATTCCAAATCCTCAAACAAAAATAATTTTTCTATTCTGAGGTTTTAAAAATGAACTCAAAAATAATAAGTAATTTTAATAGAAGCATGTTCTTTCAAATTTCAAATAGTTCGCATGTTTTCAAAATTCTCAAGAATGTTCAAAAAATTCTAAATCCTCAAACAAAAATAATATTTTTTTTCTGAACTTTTAAAAATGTTCAATTGAGATACAGTAAATTTCAGCAATTTACCTTGAAGCATTATGCAACTAAATTTGCAACCAAAGGACACGAGCCCTAAATTTTCACCCTTCTACCACAAACCCCAATTTTGGACTAGTCATTCTAGTAATCGAATAATTTTTTATCTCGCGTTCCATCAATGAAAGCTTTTGGTACTGTTATGAAAAAGCTTAAACTGTACTTTAAAAAGTGATTGAATTTTATTAAAGATTGCCCAATTCTGACACTTTTTAAATTTTGGGTCAACTTTATTTTTTTTTTAATTTTTGAAAATCTATCACTCTTCTATTTCATAAAAATTATTTCAGTAGCCGATATATATAGTTCGATAACTAGTAAATTATTTTTGTAAACGTTTTATATTTAATTCTATAAAAATTTCAACAACTAATATGAACCAGGAATATTTTATATTGCATGCATTGCAGTGGGTAAATCATCAATATAATTTGCATTAGCTGCATCTTTTACTTATATACCACACACATTTTTATACTAAATTTTCTAGAAGTATTTCTTATGGCTAAAGCTAGTATATATTTATATATATATATATATATATATATATATATATATTATAAATATTAAATAAAATCTTACCTCGATAAGTGCTGCTTATGCAATCATAAGGAATTTGACGATTAGTTTTTACCGCTCCAAAAAATGCCAATGATAATAGTAATAATGGTAATAAATAATCTTCATTCTTGTTTAATTAAAGTTGTACTTAAGTATTTATTTAATTATAGTTTTTGTATAAAATGTAATATTTTAGCTACGAATTTGCTTATAAAAATTTTTCGTATCAAAAGTTTTATTATGAAAATGAAATGTGGGGAAAACAAATGATTTGACATGGTAATATGATTAGTAAATGTAATTTGAAAATTGTTTTTATTAAAAACAAAGTCACTGAAACAAATATATGTGACAGTGACATTTTTTGCTGTCAAATTAATAATATTACAATATATTAATTTATGGGTGATTTGTTAGTATACCAATTTGCTGTAGGGTAGTCATAAAATGATAAATAAATTTAAATTATTAGTTTTGTATTAAATTTTTGTAAGTATTTTATCCATTTCGGTCCTGAGTCTTTTATCCAGTTCGGCAAAAGTAAATTTTTCGTCGTCGGTATTCAATCAAGGAGTCGTTTCTTGCGAAACGTTTTTCGCCGATGAAAAGCCAAAAGTTGTTTGATTCCTTCCTCCTGCTCCTGGTGTGTATGTGAATTGTGTGAATGAAACGTAATCACCTATTTATCCGCAAAAGGAAAGAAATAAAATAAACGACACGGAAGACGGAAAGTAACTTTTGATTCGGAAAGGAACTGGGAAATTCATAAATAGTATTGTATTGGTAATTAGCTGGATGGGAAATTAATAAATTGATTGAAGAACTTACTTTAATATGTTGCAATTGCTTCTATAAATTGAGACTGATTTTAACACGTTAATCGCCATATCAGTTATATGTGTCTGATGCTAAAAAGTTCTACATGAGCCATATGAGACATATATGTCTGAAAAATTGACCTGGAATTTCTTGGCTTGTCGGAAAAAAGGCTATAATATAGAACCATGGCAGTCATATATGTTTCTTGATACATTTTAACTTTACATTTTACGTTACCATGGTCTATGTACATTTTTTTGATATTGTGTCAATTAACTTGCTAAATTATAAACTGAATGTAGAAACTGTTGTGATCTATTTAGATCAAA